ACCAGGAGCTTTCGCTCTTTCCTTTTCAAAAAAGCTTTCTCATTGAACTTCATTTCTCAGTGTGCAGGCTGAGACCCAGAGAATGACACCACACATGAAATCCTGCAAACACGTGGGCAAATGTAGTTTTAGTTATACTTTTGACATGTAAGTGCTTTGTCAGAGATCATATAAAGTACTAGTTCAACTTGCACTTCCCACACAGGAACTTGATGTTATGCTCATTAATTACTAGTCACAAGCAGCTTCCCCCCGACCCACCCACCAAGGGTGAGTCCATTGTGATTGCCATAGAGATGAGAACAGGCTATTACTTGCTTACAGACTGGAGGGAATGTGCCAAATGCAGACTTGTAACTTAGTGATATCATCATGTGATATGGGAATATGATTAACTTGAATTCTTGGACTTGGAGCCAGTTTTGTGCTGACATGTATACTTTCCACCTCTAATGCCTATGTGTACATTTAAAATAATTATGCTCAAGTATATATACATTATGTTTACTCATTATACCTTCATGTTTCTATACATACTATATATCATCCTAGACTGTAAGCCTCCCAGGTAAGGACTATGTCTAATCATTTGTATTTAGTTGTTTTTAAAATGTTTATTTTTCAGAGAGAGAGAGAGAGAGAAAGAGAGAAAGAGAGAAAACATTGCATGTGTGGGGGAGGGGCAGAGAGAGAGGGAGACAGCATCCCAAGCAGGCTCTGCAGAGCCTGGTGTGGGGCTCGAACTCACGAACTGTGAGATCATGACCTGAGCCAAATTCAAGAGTTGGAGGCCTAACTGACTGAGCCACCCAGGTGCTCCATTGAATTCATTTTTAATCCCGAGTCTTAGCTTAGTGTTTGGCTAAGCTTCATCCTTGTACTCCTGGAGTTATTTCACTTGGAAGAACTACATCCTTAATATGTTTGAATGGTTCATTTAAAATTAATTTCACTCTAAAGTGATTTTGTTCTAATTTACTAGTATGATTTGACCAAGATCCATTCTGAATCCAATTATGAATGGGGAGCAGCTTCAGAAGTTGGAAAGAGAGATATTTCTTTTTCAGTGGCTGTTTTTTGGTGTGGGAGGGCTAAGGTATATAATCAAGCCATTGTCTTGGAATTTTTAGAAGTGAAACCAATTTTCTTTGACAGCTGTAAAAATACATCAAGGTGGGAGTATAGCAAACAGAAACAATCTTGGGCTTTGGTGGCAAAGTGATTATATACATTGAGGCCCAGGGGAAAATGACGAGAAAGGGTGAACAGCTCAAAAGAACCATGACCTCCCTTTCTGTAGAGTTTAGGGGATACTCAAGATAGAGACAATTATTTACCTGGTATTTGTAAATCTTTCCATTTTTATTAAGTAAAACATGTGCTCATCTTCTCATGTCCCATTGGTTAGTTTCCTGCTGTTTGATTAAAGGATTCTCTCCGAGTTCTTTCCATTAAAGACAGACCTTCCACTTTCTGCAATTCACTGATCGCTTGATCCCTACCACCTTTCACTTTTGCTGTGAATAACATTTGAAGATCCTGTAAGTGAATCAGGGAATACTGAGTTACTGACGTTGTATGCCATGCTTTAGAGATGAGGATCAAAAAGCATCCCCGGCAGTCTTGCTTGAAGATGAGTTCTGGACTCCAGACCTCAGTGTTCTCAAAGGCCAGGAGGATTGCACGTGGTAAGAGAGAGGAGAACGGAGAAAGAATCTTGGAATCTTGCTTTCCTGGAAAGCGAATCTTGGAACTGAGTCTAGGGGAGAGAAAAAAAGTGTTCTTGGGGAAATTAAAAAATAAATAGCACTAGCTAATACTTTAAGTTGGAATTGTTATCTGACACTGCCCCCAAGTCAGTAAGGGTGAGAGCAGGGAGTGTCCACTGGTCATGTTTTGATTTTATATCATGCCATGTCATTCTTTCTAGGTGTTACAAGGCTTTTAGTATGTGTAATTCTTCAAGTCCAGTAAAAGTAGTTCTCTCCATCCTAGCTTCACTTCTGGGGTTTCTCTCGGACTGTGATGGGGCCACTAAGGCACTGATGGTTTCGTATGAAGTCATGAAATTCCAGTGTGTGATAAAGAGACCCATATTTAGAGACTACAGATCTTCTCTGGATCTGCACGCCTGTCAGAAATAGGCTCATGCTGTTCTGTGTCCTAGCTGGTATAAGAAGTATAAGGAGATTAACATTTCACTTTCCCACAGCAACTACTGGTAGAACCAGAGGTAGAACCAGTGGCTCCACATGTATGTACGGTTTCACTACTTTCTTTGAAAGATTACTTGGAAGAAACTAGAGATTGACCCAAAGGCAAGGATTAGTTTTCATTTTTATGATAGGAAATTCAGTTAATACTAATCCTAACTTTTGAACAAAGTATCATTCTTGCCTAGGGCAACAGGCAATAATTGTCATATTGACAATGGCCATGTCTAGTGAATTTCAACTCCACCTCCTGTAGGGTTTTTACCAATCAGACTCAGTCCCTGGTATTTGCATGTCAAAGTTACAGACTATTATGGAATGTGTTTTGGTAGGAGACAAAGAATTCACTGTTGTGTAATTAATTGCCAAGAAGGGCATCATGACTTTAGACAAACGGTCCTGAGGTTCAGTCTTGCTCCATGACTTGGTAACTGTGACTTTGGGAGAGGACTTATTTCATGTCTTCATATATAATTCTCATTCATAAGATGGGGACAATGGAATAAGGTCAACCCATATGAAATTGCTATTTTTTAAAGGCAAAAAAGAATCATGTATTGGCAAGATCACATGATTCAACCTAATAGCTTTTACTTAATGGGCTCAGTGGGAGGATTAAATGAGAAATGTATATAAAATGCCAAACATGCTGCTTAGCTCATAGTAAGTGCTCAATAAATGGTAGATACTATTATCTGTAAGCAAATAACATTATTATTTTCAATATAATCATATTCAAAATCCTATTTATTTATAAGCTTACATATCGAAATTTAAATCCAAGCTGTTCATTTTTCCTGTAAACATCTGCAAGGAAGTTACTGCTGACTGAAGTGCAAAATGTGTGAGGATACAGTATGTGTCTTTTTGTGTCTGACTTCCTTCAGAAAGCATAGTGTTTTCAAGGTTCATTTCTTTGCACTGTGTATCAGTTACCAAATAATATTCTGCTGTATGGACCTACTGCATTTTGTTTATCCATTGATCAGCTGATGGACATTTGAGTTGTTTCTACTTTGGGCTTATGAATAATGCTGCTGCAAACCTTTCTGTACAAAAGAACAAATTGTAAGATTCCATTTATTTGAAATGTCCAGAGTAGGCAAATCCATAGAGAGAAGACATGGATTAGTCATTGCCAGGTCTGGGGGGAAGAGAAGTGGGGGGTGACTCTTATTGGGGTTTCTTTTCTTTTGTTTAATGTTTATTTATTTTGAGAGAAAGAGAGAGAGCAAGGGAGGGGTAGAGAGAGAGAGGGAGAGAGAGAATCCAAAGCAGACTCTGTGCTGAGGGGCTTGATCCCATGACCCTGAGATCATGACCTGAGCTGAAATCCAGAGTCGGATGCTTAACGAACTGTGCCACCCAGGTGCCCTTGGGGTTTCTCTTCTGAGTGATGAAAATGTCCTAAATCTAGACAGGGGTGATGGTTGCACAATCCTGTGAACATGCTGAAAACCACTGAATTGCGTACTTTATAAGGATGAATTTTATGGTATACAGATTTTATCTCATTAAGGCTGTCATTATTCATATATCAAATAGAAATATTTCATAACATACATTCACCCCATAAAGAAAGAGAACACCTGATGATTTATGCAGTTTATTGCCATAAGGAGAAGCATTCTGCCTTGAGAAGGTTTTCACTAATTTTGTGTTTAATTTATTCCCATTTTTAAGGGTTTTTTTTTTTTTTTGGTTGTTGTTTATTTTAGAGAGAGCACAAGTGGAGGAGAGGGGCAGAGGGAGAGAGAAAGATAGAGAATGAGACGATCTTAAGCAGGCTCTAGGTGCAGCACAGAACCCGAAGTAGGGCTCGTAGGGCTCGAGGGCTTGATCCTAGGACCCTGGGGTCATGACATTAGCTGGAATCAAGAGTCTCATATTCAACTTGGCGCTAATCTATTCCCCTTTCAAGCCTGATGTGCTTCATTCTTTTTCTGCTCAGCATTTGAGATTGGAGTCTGACTGTCAAATTATTTGAAGAGCTGAGTTGGGTTTTTTACTTTTTAAGTTTATTTATTTTCTGTGTGTGTGTGTGTGTGTGAGAGAGAGAGAGAGAGAGAGAGGGAGAGAGAGAGAAGCAGTGGGGAGGGGCAGAGAGAGAGGGGAGGGGCTCTGTGCTGACAGCAGAGAGCCCAATTTGGGGCTCGAACTCACAAACTGTGAGATAATGACCTGAGCTGAAGTCAGACACTTAACTGACTTGTGCCACCCAGGCACCCTGAGCTGAGGTGAGTTTTAAAAGGTAATGGAGACAATGGAAAAGACAGCAGATGCAACTCAAAGCTAGCAGGATTGTACCAATATAAGAAATCCAATGAATTTAACCAATAAATTGGTTCAGCTAAGAATCCAGAGGCCCCTGAAAGGAGATTTTGCAGTTCAGAAACAGGAAAGATTAGAGATTGATTTATTTGCAATTTGCGGGGACTCCTCTGCTCTGCAAGGTTTAGTATAATTCAGATATGCTATAGTTTTCAGGAACATTAACAAATTGATGTTAGGTGGTCTATAGCTTATACCCAATGTGTTTCATGGTAAAGATGCTGGTAATGAGGTTTTAAATGTCCTAGTGCTCACTTGGTTTTGTTTTTGTAGGCAGTTTGCAACTCCTCTGAGTAAAACATTTATATTCAATTATAGAGGCTGGTAAATGGGCTTTACCCCGCTTTTGATCCCTACAAAGCATTAATAGTGCTTTCTGATGGCCACTTTCTGGTGGAGAGTAAAGATTATGTCTACGTTTCTTCCAAATCCTCAGCAGCATCTCCCGGCAACGGTTTACATATCTTCTTCCATCTCTTTGGTTTCATGTGACACAACCTTGCCGTCCACAACTTCTTCCACGATCATCCTAATCTTCTTTTTTTTCTTTACATCTGAGTTTAGATTTAAGTATATAATGTTAATTCAGGAGCATGCCTCTCGTGACTTATAACATTCAGTTCTAAATCATCATGCTCATATATGTATTTTTTTCTAAAAGGAAAAGAAACCCATTCTTTTTCTTAAATAATCTTGTCCAGTTTATAAATAAATGCAGAAAATGTGTCACTGTCTCCAAATTCACAGATTTTCTTCTCTCCCCACCCCCAAAGAGAAATATACAATATCAAACTAAGCCAAATGCAGTTTTTCATCTTATTTTTTTTCCCCTTTGATGATCCCAGGATGTCTCAGAACAGCAATAGCTTGGGCCGAGAAAATCACCCTGTTGTGGGAGTGTGACAAACTTCCCATGTTGGTTTTTTTTTTTTTTTTTTTTAAATATGATGCACCTGATTTTCAGAATCTCTAGGATAATATCCATTGACTTGAAAACCGATCTCTCTTTACTTTTCACCAGTGGCATTTAATAAGTGGTAAGCTACTGAGTGAGAATTCAGTCTTACAGGAAATGTATGAAATTAGAACACTTACCTTTCTCCTCTGGGGTGTTTAACTGATACTCTGTAGTTTTGTTTGTTTGTGTTCTTTAAGAGAAGAAAAAGAAACAACAAAAGGTGTTAGTGCCATTTTGAAAACGAAACACTGTCCTGCCTTGTTTGTTTCAAAATAGAGTCTGCGTGCTGTGTTTTAATGTTGTGTTTGCATTTCCCCCCCTTTACCATGTGTATATATGTATATGTATGTATATGTGTATATATATATAGCTTCAAAACTGATGTTTACCCTATGCTAAAAGATTTTGTAAGAAAAATAACAAAATTACAGTGGGAGTTAAAATCCTGTGTTCTCTTACCAAGTGCCTTGAGTGTGGTAGTTGAAGACAGTTGCTATGGCAACACTGATGCTTCTCAAACTGGTTCCCAGAGACCTCTGCGGTCTATTGTTCATTTCATGAACAAAATCCTCTCAGTGAGGATTTTTAAAAGTTACTGTTATGTTAGAAGTTATTCAATTATGTATTAAACATAAAAATTAGCAAAGCATAATCTGTATCATCCTATTGTAGAACCATCTTCTAAGTCAGTCGACTCTACACATACTTGGTATTTGGGGGATGAGCGTACTTTTGGTATATTTTTGTTTTGTTGTTGGCAATGCATGTGTAATTGCTTTTGTGCTAGGGACTGCATTGGTGCTGGGGAATGAGTGATAGAGTTTAATGCGTGGGCATTAAAATAGCACAGCATATATCCCTTGATTCTAAGAGGCTTACATGACATTTTCTCCTTCTTCTCCTTCCAGAAGGCGGCGGTAAGTAGCAATTTCCTGCTCAAGGCGGGTCTTTATGTCAAAGAGGATATTGTATTCCTTGTTCTGGCGTTCTGTATCGGTCAAAATCTGGGTCAGTTGGACTTCTATGGAGTTCAGGAGTTCCTGAATGGTGGCCAATTGGCTAGCATAACGAGCCCTGGTCTCCTCTAATGTATGCTCCAACGATTCTTTCTATGAGCACAAGAAAAGGTGGATGTTTCTTAGTTGAAAACTTAAGAGGTGGCTCAATTTTAGTTTCTTTTGAGGAGAATTTCCACTGCTAGTCGTTGTGGGCATGACTCTTATTTCTAGCTTTATTTTCCCATCTTTCCATCTAGGCGACTTCAGCCAGCTGCTAGGATCCCTAGCTCCTGGAGTCTGTTGTTAGTTTTTAGCCTTGCACTCATTATTGTTCTCAACATTTGCCTCCTCTCCTGGTGATTTGTGGTGCCCCTCCAAGCTGAGGATTAGGTTTCCTCATCCCTGTTGACAGAAGGCTGGGGCATGTAACTTTCTTTGGCTAATGAAATGTAGGTGAAACTGACAAATGCCTTTTCTGAGAAGCTTTAGGAGCTATCATGGGTTCTGGCCATTGCTCTTTTCTTTCTACAACAACCCTGGCATGCCCTGGCTAAGGTCTTCTCCTTTAGCCTTACTCCCCACAGTGGAAATGTATGTCATGGAGCAGAGCTGCAGCCCACCCATGATGGGTGTAGTGTTGTTGTTGTAAGCTGCTATGATTTGGGGATTGTTACCACAGCATAATTTATGAGGAGCTGATTTGCTTAGCCTGGAATGTCTTTCCCCCTGTACTTCCAAGTACAGATTCATCTCAAGTTTTAAGATCCAGTTTAAATGCCACTTTCTCTGTGAAGTCTTCCAGATCTGCTTACTCCTCTGCATCCTTGCAATGTGCCCTTGTCCTTGATTTATTTCTGTGTTTTATTTATTTTTTTTTAAATTTTTTTTAAATGTTTTATTTATTTCTAGGAGAGAGAGAGAGACAGCGCGAGCTGGGGAGGGTCAGAGAGAGAGGGAGTCACAGATTGAAACAGGCTCCAGGCTCTGAGCTGCAGTCAGCACAGAGCCCGACGCGGGGCTCGAACCCACGAACTGCGAGATCATGACCTAAGCGAAAGTCGGACGCTCAACCGACTAAGCCACCCAGGCGCCCCTTCTGTGTTTTAATTCTAATCAGTGGTTTGGCCTGTTTCCCTGCCAGCCTGCCAGGATGAGGGGTTCTTTCCTAGAGGTTTCTGCATCTCCAGAGTTCCTCACACAGGCACTTAGTAAACACACACTCCATTGAGAGCATGAAGTTAGATGTGCTTTACCATATTGAGGTGGGACTGGAGTTCGATCTCCAGGTTCCGGTAGGTGTGTCTCAGCTCTTTTACTTGAGCCTCAGCATCTTTTATCTCTTGAGTGCTCACTGTGACTTGTTGCTGCAGAAGTTGAGTCTACAGTACCAAAAGTGAAAAAAAATGAGTAAGGAGAGAGAGAAAAGAAAGAATATGAGTTATCCTTTTTTTTTTGTTTTAAAGACAGATTCTACACAGTTGCTTACCCTCCGGAATTATGCTATTACCTGTGTCTCAAACTGTTCCTTGGCCTTCTGAAGGTTCTCCTGGAGTATCACTTCATACTTCTGCCTCATTTCATTCATGTGGGCGCCAAGGTCCAGGGCTGGAGCAGTATCCAGTTCTACACTTACAGTATTGCCCAGATGTCTGCGTAGGCTGTCCACTTCCTATAGGAGTAAAAATCCTAATTACAGTCTGAGGCACATTCTCAGATGAGGCTGGCCAGAAATAATAAGTGTTATGGCTTCTTTCATGGGGAATGAGTAAAAAAGAAAGAAAATAACTTAGGGCTTATTATAGTGCAGGTACTGCACTAAGTCATTAGTTCTAAGTCATTGAACCCTGACAGCCCATATCATTATTGTTGTCATCTTCGTAACCCCCCCACCCCCCCTTATCACTATTAGAGCCATTTCTATCATTCTCGACACCGCTTCTGAACATTTCCTCACCTCCTGATGTTCTTTTTTGAGGAGGTCCAGGTCTTTAGTCAGTTCTTTAACTTGAATCTCCAAGTCTGTTCTGCTTAGGGATAGATCAGCCGAGACCTTATTCAGGCCTTGGATATCACTCTCCACGGTTAGGCGGATCTCCCTCTCAGACTCATACCTGTGAATTAATTGGTATGCAGAGATAATTGAGTCTTTCGGAAGCCACTATAGAAGAGGTAGTCCTAATATAATGAGATATTTTTATGTGGTATACGAGGAGATCAATTTCAATACATTGTATCCTTTAAAAATTTTTTTTAATGTTTTATTTATTTTTGAGAGAGAGAAAGAGAGAGAGAGAATGAGCAGGGGAGGGTCAGAGAGAGAGGGAGACACAGAATCTGAAGCAAGCTCCAGGCTCTGAGCTGTCAGCACAGAGCCCGATGCGGGGCTCGAACCCACGAACTGGGAGATCATGACCTGAGCTGAAGTTGGACGCTTAACCTACTGAGCCACCCAGGTGCCCCCATTGTATCCTTTTTTTATACATACCAAAACTGTTCATGAGAACCCAGGAATCAGATAATTTGCTCCATAATATAATCTCTGCAATTTGGAGTAATTAGTAAAAAAGCAATCCGAAGTAACTCTTAAGCAGTTCCTAAATTCTCAAATATATTTTTAAGGAAATAAAAAAAATTTTGCTTTAATTAATGTGTCAGCAAAGGATTCTCACGATTGATATTAAATAATGGTTAGATTTACTTCATGAATGCACATGATCAGTTTATTATTTTTATTACTTTGTAAGCAGATGCATACAAAGTGAATTATCTTAAAAATTCATGATCCTCCTCCAAATCTTACCTACTCTCATTTTTATTAAAGTAGCAAAACTTAAAAAAAATAATAATGCAATGGAGCAGCCAGATGCCGACTGAGTCAAACTGGAATGAACAAGCATTTACTGCTTTAGTCTTCAGATCTGCTTTCCCATTTCCTCCTTTTTGATCCTTGTAACATTAAAATGCTACCCTTTTAAGCCACAAAAGACTGGCACAAAAGAGTAGCTTAAAAGCCATTGTACACATTCAGGATGAGAAAGCTCTAGCATCGGGGCCATTTATGAGGAACAGTTCTGATCACATGTAGTGTGATCTAGCTGCAAGAGAGTGAACACAATCTGCTTTAATGATAGTCCTACTTATTTGGTTGGTCAAACCCTATTGTAAAACACCAGCAAACTCAGAACATCAAAGGTCATCCCTGGAACTTGGGCTGTGCATTTGCAGGCACTCAAAGAAGCACGGATGACTCACTTGGGGAATCACTGAGTGTAGACAAATGGCTTGGTTCAGATAACAGAAGGGCACTTACGCAGAAGAGGAGTTGTAAATTGCTTTGGTGTTACTCCAAAGGGCAGAGTTAGGTTCAGTGGGTGAAAAGGTAGATAAAGATTACTAAAAAAGAATGTTCTAGCAACTAGAGCTAACCAGTGAAAAATATTAGGAATGTGGGAGATAGAAGTCTAGCCCTGAATGCAGGGCTGGACCAGATAGCTTCTAACACCCTTCAAACTCCCAGATCCTGAAAATACTTAAGGTAGCTCCTTTACCAACAAGAAGGTGGAAAGCTGAGTGTCTTGAAGCACCACTAAAAGGAATCCCTTTTCAGGAAGTTTTACCCTGGTGTTAGAACCTACTTTAGCCGGAAGTCCTCAGCAGCCAGTTTGGCATTATCAATTTGCAGGACACAACGAGCATTTTGCCATTGTACATTTTTAATCTGGAAAATACATGAGCAAGAATGACATTTTCAACTGGACAAGAGTTTCAAATGATTGAGTTTATCCTCAGATACAATCACTATTCTATCAAAGATGATATTTATTTCAAGAATCTACACATGAAAATAGAAAGGAAGAGCAATGGTATGGGCATTTAAGATAATTGAGTCATAAAATACAACTCTGGTCCCAGGGTTTGTGACCTTTCTCACAGTTTTACAAAAGGAAGAATTTCATTCAACTCCACCCACCAAATGTTGTTGAGTGCCTTCCCTTTGATGTTGTTCCTGCTGAGAATATTCCTGTTAGCCCTTCTCAATTGGTGAGCAACTTCTCCATGTCTCACGTTCTACATCTTTGCTTCAAGGAAGGCTCAGTGATTTCTTTCTTTAGGGCAGAACTGGATGAATTTCCTGTGTTCTCACTGCCCTACAGCCCCTCCTTGATAGTATCTATCCCTCTGTGTGGGATAAGTGTTGCCTTTGTCTGTGTCTGTTCCCCCTAAGTTGCATTATGTTTCCCCCTAAATCATATTCCTCAATGCTCAACATGGTGTCCAGCACTTAGTATCTATTAAGTATTGGCTGAATGAATGGACACTTTGCTCTGTGAGAGTTGTATTGGGTACTGAAGATGTCAGAATGGATAAGCCCTTGATCTTAAAAAAAAAAAAAAAAAAAAAAAAAAAAGGGATTCCCTAATGGGTGAGTTCCCTAAGATATATATGGATCCTGGCTGCGTGTAGAAGATGTTACACTGGCCTCTGTCTTTCAGCAGATCCAGTCCTGGAGGGAGCTGCCTTTCTTCCTATGTTGAGTCTGCCTAATTAAATGGAATAGGTGGCTTGGATGTGTCGATGTGTTTGGGATGCTCCACAGTAGATTTGGAAACGTGAATCATGAGACAGGTAGGGAAGAATGGTTTGCTGATTTTGAACGTTTTTAGTGGGAGCCTGAGAAGAATGACCTGTTGGCAGAAAGATGGTTTAGACACCTTTGCCTGACCTCCCCATAGTTCCTGAAACTCCAGAGTGACTTTCTATGGAGTCTGGTTCATATTGCACTGATGTCTAATACTGGTAAGGAGGTGGCCTTTGCTCTAAAGGAATATGGGTGTTAAAATAGAAATGAAAATGAAAAGGATTCTTTCCTTGATTAGATAAGAATTTTAAAGCAGAGCAAGTGCTCGTGTAGTGACTGAATGCTTCAGTTTGGAGCAAAGTCCACTCCCTTTATCATACACAGTAAATTAGAACTCCACCTTTTTCAGATAATGTGGGAGTAGGCTGTGATATAGTTGCAACAAATTTGAGTTGGGGGCAATAGAACATTTTATTGCTTAGAAGTGGTATCTGAACTGATGATGGGATTATTAAACAGGGCATTGAAAAATCTGGACCTCAGTAATATCTACATTGCTTCCCCTGTTTCCACCCTGAGTCACTTTGTCACTGAAATTTTTCATATAGTGTCTTAATGCTAATATTACAATATTTACATAAATTAAAGGAGGAGCATCTCTGTGTTGCCTGGGAATCTACAAGTAAATGGGAACTGGATGAAAAAAATCAGGTTTATCATCACATAAAAGTTTTAGCTCTTCTTAGAAAAAATGTTTACTATCCACTTAGCGGCGTCCTGGTAAACTGTGACAAAAAGACAGTTTATGAGACTGGAGGATATCATTTTCATATTTTCCATGTAACTATATTGTAAAAAGTTAACAAAGTATGATTTACAGTCATCCAGTCATGTAGTCAGCTACTCCACCACTAAGGGTAAGTGATGGAATTCACCATTTTTATAGATAGAGCATTTCAGCCTAATTTGCTTTCTGGCATCCATTTGGACCCACCTAGTATAGATGCCCCCATGGTATACCGTGCAGCTCAGCAGTAGAGTGTGAAACACAGGCATCATCCCTTACCTGGTTTTGCAGCTCTTCTATTTGTTGGTAATATGCATGGTCGTCCCTGATGCTGGATGTGTTTTTTTCATACCACTGCTTGATCAGCAGTTCGAGCTTGGCATTGGACTGCTCTAGGGAGTGTACTTTCTCCAGGTAGCTTGCTAGGCGGTCGTTTAGGTTCTGCATGGCCATCTTCTCATTGCCAGCAAACTTGTGTCCTCCGGTGAGATCACTCCCATAGCCCACCATGTGTTTGGAAGTTGAGATGCGGATGCCCTGACCTCCAGCTCCGCCATAGACGCTGGGTGCCAACATGCGCCGCTGCACGACTCCCTTCCCATACATGGGGCCTCTCATGCTGAGTGCAGGGTCCTGCAAGGAGTTACTCAGGCTTCTGTGGAAGCTTCTGCTGGTGAATTCCATGGTGGATGGTAGGAGGGAGCACCTGAAGCTTCAGGATTGCCAGAGCAGAGTCTGCCTCTCTGTGGTGGATGAGCTGACCTTTTATAGAGTTCACAGGAAAGAAACACCTCCTCTGCTGACACCTCACCTTCGGACTGACACCACCATCCACCTTGCCTTGCTTTGTGTTTTCTTTTTTCCCTTTGTACAGCAGTCTGTTTCATTTCATTCCAGAAATTACCACTAGAGGCATTCCTTAGAGGCTTTTTTCTCAGGGGCGATTCCTTTTTTTTTAAACAGAGACAATAAAAGGAAACCAGAAGATCTATTCTTTTAGGCCTTGCACCTGTGTTGGCAGATTTTTTTTTATCCTAATATACACAAAGAATATTTGCAAACCCTGTGAATAATTTAGGTACCTAAAGAAACAGACATGGGTACATAATAGGAAGTTACACTGGTTTAAAAGAAAAATGTTTTAAAGTCTTTTTTACTTTATCATTTTCTTTTTTGTGAGAACATTTTCTATTATTTTCATATATTCCAAGTATACAGTCCAGTGTTATCAACTTTAGTCACCATATTTTGCATTAGATCCTTAGACCTATCATCTTAAAGCTGAAAGTTTGTATTATTTTACCTCTCCCTATTTTCCCAACCCCCCCCCCCGCCCCCCGCCCAGGCCCTGGTAGCTCCTGTTTCTATGAGCTCCACTTTCTTTCTTTCCTTAAGATTCCACATACAAGTGACATCATGCAGTATTTGTCTCCTCTGTCTGGCTTATTTCACTTAGTATAATGCCCCCAGGGTCCAACTATGCTGTTGCAGGGTTCCCTTCTGTTTTGTGACTGAATAATATTTGTGTGTGTGTGTGTGTGTGTGTGTGATCCTTTTATTTATTTATTTTTTAAAGATTTTTGAATGCTTATTATATTTGAGAGTGAGAGTGAGCAAGAGCGTGAGAAGGGTGGGGCAGACAGACAGAATCCGAAGCAGGCTCCAGGCTCCAAGCTGGGAGCTGTCAGCACGGAGCCCGATATGGGGCTCGAACTCATGAGCAGTGAGATCATGACCTGAGCCGAAGTCGGATGCTCAACCAGCTGAGCCACCCAGGTGCCCCCATGTGTGTGATCTTTATCCATTCATCCTTTTGTGGACCCTTAAGTTGTTTCTAGATCTTGGCTATTGTGAATAATGCTTCAGTGAACATAGGAGATCAGATGCCTTTGAGATAATGATTTTTATCTCCTTTGAATATATACCTAGAAGTGGGATTGTTGGATCATATGGTAATTCTGTATTTAATTTTTGAGGAACCTCTATATTAATTTCCATAGTGGCTGCACCACTTTACATTCCCACCAACAGTGCACAGGGTTTCATTCCCTCCACATCCTCCCCAGGCTTTGTGATGATGGCAGTTCTCACTGGTTGAGGTGATATCTCATTGGGGCTGTGATCTGCGTAACAACAGTGGTTTATAGGTACTGATAATCACTCTTCAGCATCTCTGTTTTATGCTTTTTTTTTTTTTTTGGCTTTTAGGTTTATTCCTGATTAGAGGTTATATTTTATAAAACTATTAAAATGTTTTGTACAAACACAAAACCTCAAGTATTTAAAACAGGAATGAAACATTTATACATTTGGAGATGTAGCTTGGGGAAGTGAATTAAATAAATGTAGGTGAATGGTGGACAGATGATTTTGAGTTTTTCTTTTTCCTAATTCTAATGTTCTAAGACTAGCTAATTCATTAAAATTTTCAGTCAATGTCTGGCTTTAGGTCTTGTTCCCTGAAAACAGAAGAAATAGTATAGTGCTTTGCACTTGACCTGGTGCACGGAGGTGTCTCTATCCCCTGTTACAAGGTCAGCTCAGCACTCATCATGAGACACATCGCTTGCTCTATACATTCTGAAACTACAGCTGTTCCCTCCTAGAATCTCCAATGGATTTCAGTGGCTGAAGTTTTCATGGATATGGACCTTCTCACAGGTCCACAGACTGATGGTGTAAGTGGAGCAATTCTAAGTATAGATGGGGTGTACAGACAGGTATAGCATCTGTATAGCGCCCCAGACCTAGCTATTCTAAGTTAGACGGGGCTACACCCAGCCTCCATGGTTGGGCTGGAAGTCTCTGAAGGTGTGTAACATCCAGACACATGGTGAGCTATGGGGGTGCTCTCACCAGTGGGGCTCTGATTAACATTGTTGAACCAAATGGAATTTATTCATTGGTTCTCTCTCATCTAAACGCTCTGCCCAAAAAAATTCACTGAAACATTTAAATTGTTTCTTAATCAAGTAGAATATTTCGAATGATTGCAGAAGCCACAGAAAACATCTCATTAATTTTCATTCTGATACTTCAATTGAATTGAGGTTTGCCTATGATTAAAGCAAATAAGCAAGCTCAGAAACAACAACAAAGAAGAGGAAATCTGAAAGAAGGCATCTGAAATCTTTGCACCTTCTTCCTGAAGAATTTGGAACTTAGTGGCTCATTTTTGTTACTGTTGTTCTTCCACTGAAAACCAGTGTTGTTGTTTTACTTTTGAGTTTGAGTTCTTTTAGTTACTTTTTTTTAACAAACATCTTTTTCTAAAATAACGTAAGAGTATATTATTTCTCTCATAAACAGTGTACTTTCAAATAATACTTTGTGTTAGACTTTGCTTCAGTTACATTATAAAAGTAAAAATTGGCAGAGTTAAACTTTCTTCATGCTCTTTATGATATATATGTGGATCTCTCTTACTTATATTTTCATCCATTCATATATGCATCAGCCAGTACTCACTGAGTGTTCACCACCAGTAACTGAATGTGTACTAAGCAGACCTAGCTATTTAAAAAAAAATTTTTTTTTATGTCTTTATTTTATTTTGTGAGACAGAGAGTGAGTAGGGGAGGGGCAGAGAGAAAAGGAGACACAGGATCTGAAGCAGGCTCCAGGTTCTGAGCTGTCAGCACAGAGCCTGACGCGGGGATCGAACCCACAAACTGTGAGATCATGACCTGAGCCGGAGTTGGACGCTTAACTGACTGAGCCACCCAGGCGCCCCAGACCTATCTATTTATTACAAAGCCTTAAATTACTTTGTAATTAGCTGTCACAGCTAAAATCTTCAGTGAAGAACTTAAAAAAATTGTTTTAAATATTTATTTGTTTTTGAGAGAGAGAGAAAGAGCAAGCATGAGCGGGGTAGGAGCAGAGAGAGGGAGACACAGAATCTGAAGCAGGCTCCAGGCTCTGAGCTGTCTGCACAGAGCCTGATGCGGGGCTCAAACTCACAGACTGTGAGATCATGACCTGAGCTGAAGTTGGATGCTTAACCTACTGAGCCACCCAGGCGCCCCAAAAACTTTTTATTAACATGTGAATTGTGTTCTTTTATGTGTGTATATTCACAAAAGTAACATGTCTTTTGTTGTTACAAAAGACATGGGGAAGAAGGAAATTGTTTGATTAAAGTCACTGGAAAATTGTACTGTTTAAATCACACAAGGTTTGCAGTGCATTAGTTTCAGCTAAGAGTTTACCACAATAATACATATGGTCAAGGCATGTAGAAGTGTTATTTAAATCAAGAGTTAGCTTTATAAGAGTTGGGATATCAGTGCAGTTATTTAAACATGATAATTTTTGTTTTTTTCTTTGGCACAATTATTCCCTGTGGCTGGGCCCAATTATGTTTAAGTGAAAGAGTTAAAATCTCATTGAAATCATTAACATAATTTTTTAATGTTTTGCGAAATGGCTGTTTTCCCACTAATTTTGGCTAGTATTTGTGGGTTTTTTGAGATTTCAAATTTAAACTAAAATATGACACAATAGGGCTGTTATTATTTTAATCAAAGTATAATTAACACACAGTGTTATATTAGTTTCAGACATACATTATAATGATTAAACAAGTCTATTGTTATGGGGTTCAGTCATCCAATCTAGAAAAGTTCCTCTTGTGAAGACTCCCACATGTTTATGTCAGGGCAGGAGAATTTTCCAGCTCCTCTATCACATTGAGTTTTATGCTTTCATAGATTATTGTAATTTGTAATGTGATCGATCACAGGAAACCAGGCTGGCGTTTCATAGCAATTAGCTTTTCTGAATTCTATCTAGGACTAGATATGGACCTTATGACTCTTGTTCATACACAAGTCATTTATAATTCAGAGCCCCTGCTATCCCAGGCTGTTAGATGACAGCATTTATAAATAAATATTTATTAGATCCAAACTTACAGCTAATCAGTGGTGCATTTTGACCTCTGAGACAGACTCTGCTGAGGATGTTAATGATTAATATTAAGTATGCCCCGTAATTTCGAGAGTTATTACAAGCACTATAGTTTTCAGAGTATTTTCAACTTCTTTCCGCCCAACATGGAAAAGGCATTACAGCCCTAATGTGATACATATAGAATCCAGGGTGGGAGTTTGGCAGGGTGGGGGTTCTCTTTCCCAGACACCTTAGGACATGTTGCTCTCATTGGCTGGGGAGGATGGCGCATAGGAACCGTGTGCATTTGTAGGCAGTGTGGTTCTAGATACCATACAAAAATATTCACAGAAGTATTGTTCATAATACTAACATACATATATACACACACACTCGAAACAACGCAAATGCTCATCAACAGCAGAATGAATAAACACATTGACAGATATTCATACAATGGAATATGATGTGGCAGTTCAAAACTAGGGGTACCTGGGTGGCTCAGTGAGTTGAGCTTCTGATTCTTGATTTCGATTCAGGTCATGATCCCAGGGTTGTGAAATTGAGCCCCACATTGAGTTCTATGTGGATCCCACTTAGGATTCTCTCTCTCTCTCTCTCTCTCTTTCTCTACTCCTCTCCCCCTCTCTCCCTCTCCCTCCATCTTTCTCCCTCTCCCTCTCCCTCTCCCTCCCTCTCTCTCCTTCTCCCCTTTTCCCTAGCTCACAACTCTCTCCCTCTCTAAAGAAATAAAATAAAAAGGATAAACTACATTCTTGACATAGATGAAT